TAAATAGAATTTGCCATCTCACAATACGTACACAGTGCCTGAGTGCTGCACATGTACATACACACACACACCACTGATACGTATTGTTGTCCATACTCATAGTTTGTATTGACTTGGAGAGAGGCCTTATTTTATTTATTGTTATTCTGTTTGATACTGATCAAAACTTTCATAAAATTTTGTTTGCATTTATCATTATGTTCTGTCTCTGGTTGTTTGTTAATTTCCCGTAAAAATTCTTTACGAAGAACTTCAGCGATACAAGTCCTTTCTTAAATAAAACTAGTTTATTCTTTCTCAATACAACTTTGCAATACACAGAATTTCCACAGTCACTTTCACTTGAACACACGCTATAATTCACAACGATTCATGCACTTTACTTACGACTTGACTCTATTATCTGTCTCTATATCTCCCTATCTGCAATTATCTCCGCTTTATTTGCTGGGCATATATACTAAAATAGAGGGTGCCTAGAAAAGACTAGAGTTGCGAGGAACAGTCATGATCCTTGTAGAAACTCCAGCGCGTATGCTTCCAGCATCACGTGACTTCCGCTATCGTAACAATTATTATATACTGTTTAATACATATCATTATTATGTTCTGTTTAATTGATATCATTATTATGTTCTCTTTAATTATGTCATTATTATATTTGTTTAATACATATCATTATTATGTTCTGTTTAATACATGTCATTATTATGTTCTGTTTAATTCATGTCATTATTATGTTCTGTTTAATTCATGTCATTATTATATTCTGTTGAATTCATATCATTATTATATTCTGTGTAATTCATGTCATTATTATGTTCTGTTTAATTCATGTCATTAATATGTTCAGTTTAATTCATATCATTATTATGTTCTGTTTAATTCATGTCATTATTATATTCTGTTTAATTCATGTCATTATTATATTCACTTTAATTCATGTCATTATTATATTCTGTTTAATTCATGTCATTATTATGTTTTGTTTAATTCATGTCATTATTATGTTCTGTTTAATTCATGTCATTATTATATTCTGTTTAATTCATGTCATTATTATGTTTTGTTTAATTCATGTCATTATTATGTTCTGTTTAAT